AGGGATCAGCTAGTCCAACCTCTGTATTTGTATGTAACAGTGATATAATGAGAGCAGTGTGGCACCATATATCCACAGCATAGCTTACAAATATGTGTGACATTTGCTGACCAAAGGGCTGTCAAGGATAAGCTAGAGACCCTAAAAGTCAAGAAGGAAATTTCTTCCAGCTATGATGAACTACTGACATTGTTTTGCTGGGGCCTGGACTTGCTATTGCTCTGGAACCTTACAACATGCCTCCGTTTTGCTTGTGGCTCACAGTGAGGAATCTGTTGAGGCAGATAGTCCTATCTTCAGGCACAGAGGAGGGACTTCTTTGGTTCCAACCCCACAATTCCATGAGCGGAAGGATTATTTGTGGAGCAGGCTGGGAGATCAGGAGCTAGAATAAGACCAGAAAGGTCATGCTCGATAGTGGCATTGTTTTGGACGGAAGTCAGTGTCCATATTAACTTGGTAATGGGGAAACCCCTAATATCCTCAGATGCTCACACCATACTGAGTTATATTCCAACACTATGGGCCTTGACAGAGGGGTTACATAATTGGATTTTGTGTGCCCTGTTGGTGGCCAAAAGCTGGAAGGAGTGTACGTCTCCCCTGATTGCTCTGTGGTTGGGAGACCGAGCCACTCTTGCACCATATGAAAAAGCTCTCTTCAGCTAGCATCACTAAGAGAATAAACATCAGACATCTGGGATGTGTACTTGTATGCATGAAGTACATGCCCAGCAGGCTCTGTTGTGACCTAGCCCAACTCAACCAAACCCCCTTTCCCTTTTTACTTTTGTTCTGATTGTATTTATTTAACTGTATGGCACTGCACTACAAATTGCTATTATCTGGGGCTGGTGTTCCACACTGGCAAAAATGTGGGACACAATAAAATAATGTTATTGGATACTTGGCATGGGGACGGGGGACGGTCTAATCACAAAAGGCAGTGGGAAGAGGTACATTAATTAAACCAAATTTCTAGAGGGGCACAGAGGCTTCTCTCTGTGTGTTTTTTCAAACAGAGCAGGAGTGGCCCACAGGCCTCTATCTGACCCTTGGAGCTCTCTCCAAGCCAAGCCCTCATCTGCCCAGACCACACCCCTTACCAGCTCTGCTTTGCACCCCAAGTATTTTTACCTGTCTGGAATGCGTCCTTGAACTCTGATAATGCCTCTTGCTTGCCTAGATGGCAGATACAGAGGTGTGTGTGTGTGGATACTAACCTACCATACACAGCATTCTCCTGATCCACCCAACTTGTGTCAACAAAAGAAAGATGACCTGACTTGTTTTTGAGAAACCCATGCTGGTTCTTAGTAATCACAGCATCCTTTTCTATGTGCCCACAGACTGGATTCTTAAATATCTGTTCTACAACCTTTCCTGGTATCAATGTCAAGCTGTAGTTGCCTAGGTCTTCCTGACTCCCCACCCCACCCCGCTTTGAAGATGGCAACAATGTTTGCCCACCTCCAGTCTGCAGAGGCCTCACCTGTTCTCCAATCATTCTTATATATTATAGACAGAGGCTCTGACATTATGATAATAGCTCAAACGTTCAGGTATCTTATTTTTTATACAGTATTATGAACCCTACTATTCAGAGTTCATGACCTACACCAATCTGGTACTCACTGCTGATTACAGTATAGCAGATCAGAAACAAGGAAGAGACTGGCGTGGGCAAAATCCATAGTGCATGCTCAGACTGCAGCACACGCATGGCGGTATCCCTTCAAAACTGCCATGCAGGCATAAACCCTACTTAGGTGCTTACATTTTGGTGTATTTGTGACCTTCCATGCACCTGTGTGCATGGGTCAAGCTGTATGTGTGCATGCATGTATGCACTCAAGATGTGCAGCTTGGTATGACAATCCCTAGTTTTCGTACAAACACACCTCTGCAGAGGCACCTCCCTGGCCTCTTTTGGAAACAGGATACCAGGCTAACTGGGTTGTGGACTGACCCAGCCAGGAGAGTCCTGTGTCCTTCTGCGTGCTGGCAGGCTAGGTGTTTGTATATCTGTAGGGCTCATGCACCTGCATCCATCTCTTTGTGTTTTGCTATGTGCATTTACATGTCTGGGTTTTTGTTTTGTTTTGTTTTCGGCGTGTCACTCATGTCTCCAGGCCCAGCTCACTCCGCAGGAATCTCTAGCCGCCGGGCCCTGTTCTGGATGAATACACTTGAAAGCATTTTTTCTCTCTTAGCTACTAAATTTCCCTTTGAGAAGAAAGGAGTTGGCTCACTTCATCTTCATTAGTGTCGGGGAGCATTGGGGGGGATTGCTTTTGCTGCGGTGCCACCCCTTCCAGCCTCTCACTTAGTCCCTTCCTCCTGCCCTGAGTCACTGGCCCTTTGGATATGGGCTTCCAGCCAGGAGGAGGCTGCTTCCTTCTCTGCACTGACCAGCCTCTCATTTTAATCCAAAAAGGTACCATAGAGGATATGATAGGATATCCAGGTTCATGGCTTTCAGTTCACCCTTTCATACTAATTGTAATTATTATTATTATTAGTAGTAATAGTAGTAGTAGTAGTAGCAGTAGTACACCACCCATCAGCCGAAGATCTCAGGGCTATTCACAAAAGAAAAATACAAAATGAGAATACAAAACACATAATAAAAACAAAAAACTAAAACTCCATTCCACAAACACATTTAAAAAGCCAGAGAATGTTAATCAGCTGAATGCCCGGTTGAAATGTTTCCACCTGGTGCCTAAAGATATATAATGAAGGCACCAAGCTGTTTTGATACTTTGCTGTAGAACTTCCAAAAGTTTCTTTGTTGGTAACTTTGGAAGTGTTACCATTGGCTTTGTTACACCTCAATACTTATAGTTTGTCATACATTTTGTGGATGCAGATGCCATGGTTCATGAGATAGGTGCTCTAGGAAGATTGTCAGTTGCTGTTTAGGAAAACGGTTTCCGCACACTGACTTATGCCAACCTGTTTTGTCTACCTATATATTTCCCCCCATTCCAAATCGTGCTGTGTCATACAAGTGGAAATTGACATAAGTGATGACTTTTCTTCTGATTACTACAGGAACTGTATAAATATGGGTATTCGTCAACACAGAATTCTCAATTGAGATTGAAACATTAAAATCTTCTCCAGCCCCCCAAAGCAAGAGGATGACACAAAAAGGAAGTCTCTGTCAAATCTCCAGTGCTCCCCAGAAGTCTTGGAGAACAGGATACATCACGTGCTGATGCAGTGAATTCTGGGAGTTTGTTTCCTAATTAAATTAGGGGAAAATAAATCACTAGTCCTTTGAAAGACAAAATATTAAGAGAATCAATCAGCCCAGTTAGTCCCTTCTGTTTGTCTACAAAGGAATCCTTGGAACTCTTTAATGAGTAGGAGGCAGTGTTTATGATGTATATGAGTAGCACAGGGAATGTGATGCACTGATTTATAGATGGTGTGTGCATCTCAGGGCCAAAATAAGTGCAGTGTGAGGATACAGGTGCCTGCATTGCATTTGCATTTCCCCCCACTGTGAAACTAAATGTGAAGCAGATATGGGAGGGGCAGTTTAGATCTGGGAAAGGGCAGGAGCATTAAACTCCCCAGCACTGCTGCTCCAAACAAAATCAGAGCCCACCCCATAAAATTAGAGCCCCTTCCCCCATTTACTTTATGCGACAGCTTTAAAGTTCAAAAGAAAAAACTTAAAGAGATAGGAGTATTTCCCTGTAGTTCCCTCCCCCCTCACAGAGCTACAATTCCATGCACCCTTAACAAACTACAGTCCCCAGGATTCTTGGGTGTGTGTGTGTCATGTGCTTTAAATGTGCATTGAATGTGTTTCACATGTACAGTGTGGATCTGCCCTTGACTTTCAAGTGACCACTTTAGGCTTTGACACCGAACAGCATTTGATTACACTTCACACACAACCATGTACTTGCCACTTTCTTAGGTCTTTGAGCACCAGAATTGTTGCCGCAATGAGCTCATTGGCATTCTAGGGGGCACACTTTTTTATGCCAGTGGCTGCTATGCTCTTCACACATGTGAAACTCTGTAGAAGCTGCTTCTGCAGGGGCTCCTACACCTACTCTCCGCGCCCCCCTGCAGCTGTGGTGTGTGTGTCCCAGCTCAGATCTCAGACATGTCTGTGGTTCACCAAAATTCCAGCCACAAAGGAGAGACCATGAAGGAAAGAGCATCATCCGGCTAAACAGATGTTAGTGTTAGAAGTGAGGGAGGACAGGAGGGGCCCTAACTGATCTCCCATTTATTCAGAGCTCCTCTCATGCAACCTTCACTAACCCTGGTGCCCTCTTGTTTTGAACCACAACTTCCATTAGTCCCAGCCAGCAACTATTGGGAGTTGTAGTCCAAAACATCTGGAAGGCACCAAGTTTTGCAAGGGCTGCTGCCATGTTTAAGGGTAGCATTTCAAACTCTAATGCAAAACAAAACATTGACCTGATTGGGTTTCTGGTAGATTTAATCCAAATGCGCTTTTGATAAGCTGAGAAGAGCTAGCTGAAACAGGGGCCTTCCTAAGATGTACAGGATCGAGAAGAGGATGGTGGTGTACTTTCTAACCCTGTCCCACCTACCAGAAGAAGTCCTGTTAGGCACTATTGTTTCTTTGGGTAACACCTAGTAACTAGCTGGCTGTTACCGGTCTACTTTTGTTAAGCTTGGGTGAGGGAATTAATAACAGGGCCTCTCTCCTCTTCTGACTTTTTAATGTTTGCTTTTAATCGATGATCTTGCCCAGCTACCGTTTTATCAACCAGTTTGAATTCATGCCACTGCTGCTTGCAGTGGGGCTGTGATGATGGTATCTAATTAGCTAATACCAGAGCAAATGCCTTTAGTTATGAAAAGAGAGATCATCTTCATCACAGATTCCATCAATTGGTCGATAAATGTGCTCGAATCCATCTTGCTCCATATTGTCATATGCATTTGATGTTGCTATGTTGGTTCTGGTTTGGGAAGCTCCTTCCCCACCAAGGCCTCTGCTCCTATCCCCTGTTTTTGTCCCCGCAGTTCTCGTCTAGATTTAAGCCAGCCTCATCCAAAATCTTCTGGACCATGGACATTATGAGATGTCCTTTATCTTTCAGGCTGTCCGAATGGCAGGGGTCTGCTTTTCTGTCACATGACCTGTGTGAGAATTTTGGGCCACAGCTCCCCTCCGCCCTCTCATAGTCACGGGGAATGTAGCCATATGAGGAGGTGTTGCATTCACGAGGTCTACAGTCTTTGTTCTTTTCCAGCAGGTGCTGCTGTATCTGCTGCAATGCTGTTACCAGAAGCTCTCTGGCATACATATCCAGGGATTGCTTGTCCGGCACCTTGGTTCCTGCTGGAAAATGTTTCCTTGGGCATGGGCCACCTGCTCTTTCCTTTCCATAGTCACAAGACTCCCTTTTCATGGATGAAAACTGCATGCCCTGGCTGCAATGGCCCCGGGCCCCCCCTGCTTTATAGGTTGCAAAGGTGAAGTTTTGAGCTCTGTACTGCTTATCATCTCCCAAGATGAGTTTAAACAAGCGCTTCACCATGACTTCCAAAACCTCTGCTGTCTTCTGGGTTCCAGCCTTGTAAAGGTTCCTCTTCAGTCCACAAACAAAATCAGAGTCTGTCATGAGCGCCCCTGTGATGTTGTGCAGGTTTTTCATGGAGGAGTCTATTAAGTCTGATACGATTTCCTTGGTGTGCTTCATAAGTACCTCTTTCAAAACGGCACATGCTGGCGGAGGGTGCCTACCTTTCTGGACTCTCATGGTCTTCAGGAAAGACAGCATCATGTCTGAAGCAACCTGATTTGCATACACCATCATCCCTTTGCTTATGGAAGTCATGTCGTCTGCTTTCCTTTCTTTGTCCATATACATGGCTTCATGTTGCTTGAAGTCATTGTGGTTTGCCATGTCACCTGAAAATGGGTCGTCCCTCTTGATTTCTGGAGGCGTCTTGCATCGTTCCATATTCTCAGCTATATTCACCTTGTTCCTATTGCTGTGGGGGCTAATGATATGGCGGGTGCATTTCCCTGAGCTTTCCCATTTCTCCTTGATCTCCTTGCGTGTCATTTCAACAACTAAGTTGCAGAGCTTATTGGCGTAATAGGCAATGTCATCTGAGTTCCCTCCCTCACTACCGGCGCTGGAAGAAGTGTTGTTGTTGTTCCTGGATGCTAAGTCAAGTACCTTAGTCTTGCGAGGCTTTCTTAAGGATGTCAGCGCATGCTGGAATCCAACTGCATATTTCTGGAGGTCATTGTTGAGCCAGCTGACAACATTGTCATCATCAATGGAGCCTTGCTTGAAAAGGCAAACTGCTCCCTCAGTATTAAAGCAGCTGTTTTGCTCATTGTCCTTGATTATGATGACCTCCCTCTCTTCCATATTCGCCAAGTCCAGCTCATTGTCAGGGTCAGAGATGTTCTTGGATCGACCAGTAGCTCCATCTCTCTCCTTTGAGTTCAGGTTGGCAACGTCGACAAAGCAAATCACTTTACGTTCCTGGTCTTTATGTGTATCAGGGCTGTAGAGGTTTATCTTGCACACACCAGCCTGGCTGCTGAGCCAGTCTACTTCCTGTGCCATCTTTGTTGGTTACAAGTAGAAATGGATCAAGAGCTGTGCAGTGTTCTTCTTCCAGCTGAGCAGCTTGGATGACCCGGCCAGACTTGGGATGTTGCCTCCTCTTAATCTTCCATGCTCTTCCTACCTCCAGATGGTCTTCTCACTTATGTGGACACATAACAGCAGTGGTGACTTCACAAAGCATCAATGTTTTCCCACCAACCAGCAAAGAGTTGCCAAATGCTTTAGCAAGAGTGTGTCTTTCCACCACTACTGTAACCAGGGCTGTAGAGAGTCTTTCTTTTCAGATGAGCTGCTTTGGTGACCCTGCTAGACTCAAGATGTTACCTCTCTTATCTTTCCATGCTCTTCTGCCAGCAAGGGACATTTTCACTTGTGTGGACATGTAGCAACAATGACATCACAAAGCATCCAACCCACCCACCCACCAACCAACCAACCAACCAACCACGGAGGTGCCTGTGTTTTAGCTTTATAATTTTCTTAAACTATCATCTAGATGAGGATTAAGGCAATCCCTTCGAGCAGTCAATTTGATGACCAAGAGAATAAGTGGAAGCATGTGGATCTCTGAGCAGGTAAGAAAGAGACCCACTAGGAGGCAGACCCAGTTTGTGTGTTTGGTGGATCCACATTTCCGGTTAATCTGGTACTTGCTAATGCTATTTTTCAGAAAGTATGTTTACCTCTTTCTTTTTGTGGGGAGGTTTCCTACATCTGGAATTCAAATAGAACACTTACATTGGCTAGACAGTTCATTCCACTTTCTGTCCTGCATTAATAGCCCTCAGGGGTGACACAATCCAGACTGAAATGTGTTCATAGAATCAGCTAGGAAAACTTTCACATACAGGTCTGATGTAAACTTATCCAGAAGTAAGCAACACTTCGTTAAGGACAGCACTGAACTAAAGTTACTCATCACTTTTTGCAATCATTTTTGGCATTGCTGGAAAATGCCTTCTTTTTTGACACTATGCAAAAATGTTTGCTTTTTGGTTAAAATTGCTATCATTTCCCAATACTGATGCCAGCATATACAGCCAAATCCAATTGGTTGCTTTTACTCCCATGATTTTATTTACTGGTGTCGAAGAACATCATAATGTCAGATGTAATACTAAATAAGCATTTACATATATAGTGCTTTGGTAAGTGTTCAAAGAGCTGGGATTACATTTTCTTTTAATTTTTACAACCTATCCCTGTAAGGTAGTAGTATTATTTCTGTGTTGCAGAGGGGGACAGAGGCTGAAGGGGAAATTCTTGCTCAAGGCCACCAAATGAGCTCCATGGCAGAAGTGAGAGACAGACCAGTGTAGTGTTCTGATGCCGTTCTGCTCATTACATGATCTCTGATTGGCTTGGATCACCCACAGGGAAATTTCTGTTCCAGCAAAATTGTTAGATTCAGTTGCCAGAAGCAATCACACCAATGTGATATGTCTGGCAGCCATCCCATGGTAAGCTAAAGGACACTACCTCCACCCCCGGATTGAGCCCATTTGCATTATATTTTGTCTCATCATTCTCCCAGCCCCTTTTGGGCAGCCCCTTCCCCAGTGCATTGGGAATGGAGCAATTAGCATTGTCACTGTATTCCAAGGATGTTGCATTTGCTCATGGATGATTTCTGCTGGATTTGCTGCTCTCCGCTCTTGAACAGACACAGGTGGGCAGGTCAGCTGTGAACCAGATTGGACAAAAAGCTTAGTCCACATCCCAGGTTATCTGTGCAAGTGGTCGCTTCCATGCCATATGCTGGCATGCTCTAATCTTTCAAGCACGGGCTTTAACAAAAAGGAACCAGCCAGCTTCCACAAGGCGAAGGGAATAAAGAAGCCAGAGAAGAACAAGCCTGCCTCCTGGTGGCAGATTCTGGGGTGGTACCCAGCAACAACATTAAAATGAGCTCTGAGGCCCCATCAGCTTTCACCAAACTGATGCCCCCCAGATGCTTTGGACTAGGACGGCCATCCATCACAGCCAGGCACTAGGTTGGCAAGGCTGTTCCACTGTTCTGTACTCCAGGGACTGAATTTCCTATTCCTCTGGGATTAGATCCTCCTTTGTTTTGCCCGGCTGATGAGATTTTATTAAAATACTGTACTCTCTGGCCTTTGGCAATATCCAGGTGAGCATTACTGGCTCACGGCACCATCTCGTACCTGTCTCAGAAGCTCAGTGGGGCTTAACTCCCAGATACACAGGTATAGGCTTGCATCCTGAAAATGTAACATAGAAGAGGAATGCTGCCATTCCTCAGGAGAATTGGAAGGGATGCTGTGGGACCAAAGTTCAAATCCCTACTGGGCCATGAAGCTCACTGGGGGCCCTTGAGTCAGACACAGCCTCTGAGCTTAACAAACTCGTGGGGTTGTTTTGTGGATAAAATGGAGAGGGGGAGAATGATATATATCATATTAGGCTCCTTGGAAGACAGGTGGGATATAAATATAATAGGTAGATAAATGGGCACAGCCAGGATTTATGTTGGGGGGGGCAGAACTGAGCTATCTTCAATATGATTGGTCAGTTAACTGAAAAATACTTAACTTTATTTATTTACTTGATTGGGGGGGCAGCTGCCTCCCTGCCCCCTGGCTATGCCCATGGGTAGATAGTTGGGTAGGTAGATAGGTAGGTAGATTTGAGATAGGTAAGTGCAGAGAGATTTAAGGAGCTTCTTTCCCTGCCTCCTGCCCACCAATATTATGTGTGCATGGCCCGGCTATCTCTCTGCAGATGCTTCAGGGTGCTCTGGTATATATTTGATATGCAATGTTGTAGCACTGCAAACAGATTCTGGGTATCTGTTTAAATTCTCAGGCTGGGATGGGTGGTGGCGCAAAATTGCTGCTGCTTTGGCTCTTTGTGTCAGGCCAGTGGGTCTGGTCTTGGGGCGGGTGTCACATTCCTCTGGCAGCCACAGACAGAAACTGGGGAGGGGGAGGTGACTTAGTCCGGCTCCCCCTCTGTGTGACAGAGCAACATTCTGTCTGGTCCCAGCCCCCACTTAAGCTGCAGGTGTGTGGGTGACGGGCGGGCAGCTCTCACACTGACAGGCAAGGAGGCTTTGATGCCAGGGGCTGGGGGAGGAGGCAGCCCATGGACCCGAGTTCCTTTCCCATGGGCCTACAGTAGCTTTCCACATGCACCCTCCATCTCTTCCCATGACATAGTTTGCATTTCTCTCTCTATCTTATCTTGCTCTTGTTCTCCCTCCCTCCCTCCCTCTCTCTGTTCACTCCTCTGTTCCCAGCTGCGCCCCGGTTGTTTTATGGTTCTCAGCCCTGGGCCTCCACTAGTTCTCCACCTGTGCCCCCACCAACCATCCTGCTGAAGGAGGAGATGGCAGGTCTCCTTGATAACAGACAGGCAAAACAAAGACCTTCTGTGCCATGATGAGTAAGGGAAGAGCAAGGAGGGGTGCGGTGAATGTCTTGTACACACCGTACAAAGAGACCTGATCAGTAGATTTGAGTGTGTGCATATGATGTGGGATTGCTAAAATATTGTACCTGTCATTTCTGGAGCTGACATATACTGGGCTGGCTGGGACTCTTGGTGTGTGTGTGTGTTGAGGGGCCTGCTTTGTACACACAGGTTAAAGTGTTCCTCAGCATTAACTACTTCATGCTGATAGTGAATCATCAGTTGTCTTCTCTGCTCCTGTTGTTGCACTGTGCTGCTCTGCTCTTCCTCTAAGACAGCCAGAAATGGCTGCTGTTGGAAGTGCAACACCGGACTCAGGATAACTCACAGCCCGATGTTACCATCCAAACAAAGGTATTTCCTGGCCAAATCCCAGAGCTTTCTTCCCAGCGATCAGTTCCATTCAGTGAAAAGTAGTACTGAACTAGCGCTAACTGGCCTTTGAACACAGTTCCAAAACGGAGGCAATAAAACTCTCTCCACCCACTCCCCTTCCTCCTTCTCCACAGTGTTTAATATTCCTTGCAATGACAGATTCCTCTTTTTATTCCCCTCCATGTTCTGGCCAATAATCTCTGAACAAGTGGCAATTATTTCCTGCCCAGCTGTCTGAAGGTAGCAGCCTTGCTGTCGATGCCAGCAGTAAAATGCCCTCTAAACCAGAGATGGAGAAGCTCTGGGTCTCTAGGAGGTATTGGAGTACAACTCCCACTATCCCTGACTATTGGCTATGCTGGCTGGGGCTGATGGGAGTTGGAGTCCAACAACATCTCGAGCACACTAGATTCCCCATACCTGCTGTGGACTCAGGGAAAGACTGACACCAGCAGCTCCTGTAGCATATTAGAAGGGGCTGGTTCTGTCTAGCCCTTTCCAAGGACTCTTGATTCTCCCTGGTGCATGTATGTAGAAAAAGTGGAGAAGAGGCTGGGGTAAAAAATCAACACCCATCCAAAGACTTCCCAGCTGGACCCAAGCACAGCCACGGATCCCCGAAACACCCCCCCCCCATTTATGCCCTGTAGCCATTTTCTCCCAGGGCTCTTTAATGATTCCCTGTCCCACAATATGAACAGCAAGTCAGACTTTCACAGAGCCCTTTCCCCATCATTAGGAACCTCAGCTGATTATTCCTGTGAAAGAGTCAAGAAGGGGGGAAATGGGTGTAAACACCTGAAGGGCCTAAAAGGTAGGTGCTGCCTAAGCTGGTCTTTCTGTTTTTGGTTCACACATGCAGTTACTGTTATTTTTTCCTGCCTTGCTCCACTGGATCCAAGAACACCCCAGGGCCCATAATTTTATCACTGCTATGTAGTGTGCTGATCTCACACCGATCTCAGAAGGGGCAGCAGAATTGGGGCAATTCATGGTCCCCTTCATATAACAAGCACAAGGAAAACTTGGTAGCTTTCTCCATTCCAGAAGGGAAGAGATACATGGACAAACAGAGACCAGCATACAATAACAACATACAAAAAGCATTGTGGATTGGTCGTAGATTTAGTGTCCCCCTCTGGTGGCAAGAATCAGAACTGTGGAGCTTGGCTTGGCTCTTATCAAAAAAC